GCAGAGAGTCTTCTTCCTGAACAAAGTGTGAGCAGCAGGAGCTCTGAAACAGTCCTTTTAGAGCAGAAATAAAACCACGATTTATACAATCATGATGAAGTGAATCATCTTTGCAGTATTCTGAGATTAGACCTTCTGTGAGACTTTCACTGATTTGCTGAAAAGCAGACACAAGATGGGAGCTTTAACACCACTGTGAGAGGAAGAGGAGCGAGTGACACCGATACTAAGGTGGTGGAAGATCGATAACTTAATTTATATGATTCCAACTTCTTAGAGAATCATTGTTTGGCTTAATCAATCTAAATAAATGTCAGTTCACAAAACTTCAAGGCACTCTGGTCTGACCTAAGAACAAGACACTAATGCTCTTTATCTAGAGTCTTGACCGGGGCATTCTATGGGATATTTATGTCAGTAATTTAAAATCCAATACCTTCTTGGCAAAGGCCCGTCCACACTGGTCACAAGCGTGAAGGGAGAAATTCTTGGTCACCCTGACTTCAGTGGAGGATGTGGCTGTGCTGCTCTCTGATTGGGTGTCGTGCCGCCGGGTGTGTGGCGTCTGGCTGCCGGAGGGAGCGGCGGACGAGGAAGAGCTTCGCTGATGGGAGTGTTTTTCGCTGCGGCGGGTGAGCGGCGGACTGACGGGCCGGTGCTGGTGGGTCTGCTGTCTCTCCTGCTTACGGGTGATGGGAGGCGATGGCGTGAAGACTGGCGATGAGACTTCCTGCTGTTTCCGGGTCACGGGGGCAGGAGGAGGGACGGAGGTGGAGGACGAGGAGGACGAGGACGAGGAGGAGGCCGAAGAGGCGGTCGAAGCAGTTGTGGAGCACTCCTGCTTGCGAGTGACGGGAGGCGAGGGAGAGGAGGAGGGCGAGGAAGAGGCGTGGCGTCCGTTCACTTCCTCTTTGACGCTGCTGCTGCTGCTGCTGCCGCTCGTCCTCTTGTTTGTGCTGTTGAGGACGACCTCCGCGAGCCTCTTCACCGCTCTGCTCTCTAGCTTGGGCATGATCTTGGCCAAGTAGGCGGACGACTTCTTGTGCACGACAGTCACGTGGCGCAGGACGTCGCGTTTGCGGCGAGACTCGTAGCGGCAGAGAGGGCAGCGGTAGAACTTGATGAAGATGTCGTTGCCGTCCGTGTGCAGCTCAATGTGCTTCGTTAAGTTCTGACGCGAGCTGAACTGTCGCTTGCACAGTTTGCAGAAGAGCTGCTTGAAGTCAAAGCCCACTGACAGTTTGGTCATTTTGGCGGCTACGCCACCGCTGCACACGTTGCTGCCGCGGGAGGACGATGAAGACGATGGCGGCGGCGGCGGCGGCGGCAAGGATGGCGCCATCTTTGGGCCTGACGGCGGCTCCTCTTCCTTCACCTTCATGGCATTTTGGACCACAGAAACTCCTTTAGCTGCCCCAGTGCTGTCGCTAGGAGACGGAGACGGGGCTGGACTACTGTCAATGTCTTCCTCCTCCTCCTCCTCCTCCTCCTCCTCGTCTGAGGGCTCCACTGCTTCCTCCTTCACTCTCACATTGTTGCTGGGAGCCACGGTGCTGTTATTGTTATTGGTGCTGCTGCCACTGTTGCCACTGTTGCCACTGTTGTTGCTACTGCTGTTGCCACCGCTGCTGCTGCTGCTGCTGCTGCTGGGGGTGGTGGTGGTGGCGGTGGTGGCGGTGGCAGTGGCAGCAGTGGCGGTGGTGGTAGGAGTGGCTGCTGCAGTAGTCGGGGTCGGCGTGGGTGCAGACCTGTTACTTTTGATGCTGTATATCTTGTGGACGATACGCATGTGTCTCTTCAACATGAGCTGAAAGATACAGAAACACAAAATTATAAATCAATTGCTGAATTTCTTGGAAAATCGCTACTATAAAAACAATCATCTTATATATTTTTAAAACTCTCAGTCCCACATGTTGCCAGGATCTGAACCTTTATACTCACTGACCACCAAAATCTGCCCGGTTTGAAAGGCATGCTGTCTCTAAAGTAGTGCCAAAATTGTATAATTTTTCAAAGCAAGGAACAGAAAAGATTTGTTTGATTGAACAGTGACGGGTCATTTTGTCTGAAAACGTCACCAAACTTCAGCCCGTCATTGTAATATATTTTCTAAATCGTCATTTAAAAGTCAACAGGTCACCAAACCAACCTGAGAGCTGTAGTTCCTCTTGCAGAGTGTGCAGCGGCATGAGGTGGAGTTCGTCGGTGGAGTGGCCGGGGGCTGAGTCTGAGGTTTGGCTTGGTTTTGGTTTGAAGGAGGTGTTTTAGAGTTCACGGGGGTGGACTTGGAGCTTTGGGCTCGTGTTGGAGACGCGTTGTTGCTCTTCCTGGGAGGCGTGACTTCCAGCGTGAAGGGCTGGCCGGGTCGCGAGGCGATGCTGGGCGTGATGGCGTCCCTCCGCAGACCGCGATGCACCTCGTCGAAGTGGCGGCGTACGTTGGCTTTGGTGGCGAAGGTTTTGAGGCACACTGGGCAGGATTTTCCGGTCGGTGTGCTGAGAGTCCTCGGGCGACCTCCAACATCAAAAACAATCATTATCATTTCAATTAAAGTTCAACTTGAAAAGCAAAAATAGATTGACTGCACATGGGTAAGGTTAAAAATGAAGACAAATAACTTTACAAAATTAGTCTGAGACTCTTAAAAGCTGTGCGACTGAAGGAAAACGATGAAGTTTCTTTCTGTTCAAGATATTTCAGGCTGTTTTTTTCTTCAAAAATTAACTAATCAACATGATCATTCAGCTCTCTGAAGAACAAGTTAATGTCGTTTAGAAACACAAACAGCCAGAGTTTCTAAACAATGTTATCCAGTCTTGTGTCTTATCAGTGACCTAACAGAGGGTAAGTTAGGACGCTGTAAGTAAAATATGGACTTTGCTTTAAAAAGATTAAGGACACAAGTTTTAATGAGCTTTACTGGCCTTTTTACGCTAGACATTTTGACTCTTCATAGTAGGAAAAAGCACAGGTATACATTATAAAGATTAATGACAGCCTGATTCCTTTTAGTCATCTCTTGACGATAGGTCAGCTTTCTACTGTGGAGTTTGAAAACCAGTGCTTGTAAAAGTTCTTTTCATGTAACGCAATGACTATGACAAATATTTTACAACATAAACACCACATTCACTCCTCGTTCTTCATGTTATGTGTAGAACTCTTTACCTTTCACCATAGAGAGCAGGCTTGTTGGAACTGTGCGTGTCTCTGTGAACTTTCTGAGCTCCTCCAGTTTTGTCTGGTGCATTTTGCGACAGTGACGCCTGATGCTGCGACGCGAGTTGAAGTCTTGGCCGCAAAGACAACATGAGATTGTCACGTCCTCAACCTGCAGGGTGAAAAGAGAAAGAATGAGAAGATAGATTTACTCACTAATACTGGAGTCCAGATCATCTTTCACTCTGTTTTGAGTCATCGTTCACCTACCCCGCTGTTGGACCCCTCGTCTTCAGGCGGTGGCTGCTCCTCTTTAGCCTCCTCCTCGGGCTCCCACCTCCTCTGTCCCTGGTTGGGTCCTGGGCTGCTGTGGCTCTCTGGTCCGCCTGGCTGGCTCGCCTGGTTGTTGTCCACACCCTCCACTGGTTCTCCTTCCCAGGCTACAGGACTCTCTCTGGCACTGTGAGGAGCGACGAGACGTATTAAATAAAGTACAATGAAGCCAAGTCCACACGAGTAATGATTATGCAGATGAAATAAACATCTTAGTCCATCAGAGGAGTAGCTACCTGGGTGTGTGTGAAGGGTATCTGGCCAGCTCCTCCTCTGTGGTGATGTACTGGAACACCGCCTTGTTCGTGGTCTGAATTGGCTCCAGTCGCATCACGTAGTCCGGCCGGTCGGCTCGGGGATAAATGGCGTCTAACAAATCCTTCATGGCTACACTCTGCCTGTCGTCTCCTGATGAACCTGTAAAAGAACAAGCCCCACCAGAAATCAATTAATTATCATTAAAAAAACAAACAAACAAACAACTACTCATTTAAAAAAGCAAATGTTTATCCCTTGTTGGGTGAAATCAGCATACTGTACCTACTATAAGAGATTCAAATCGATGCTATTGATTCATGTTACTTTGGTGGCTGCTCAGATTTCAGTCTGCTTAAAAAGGCAGATCAGTTCGCTTTTCTAGGAAATGCTCCAATACCCCAGGGCCCCCCAACGAGCAACTTATCAGCAAACCTAATGCTGGAGCTCATGTTAGCAAAATAACAGATGGTTTTTGTCGATACAGAGAAACCATGTATGTTTAACATAGCACTGAGTTTCACTGCTGTGTTACCCATGTCCCACAGCTAGTGATTTATCTTACAAAACACTAATGTAGTCAGTGTAAGCCCCAGTGTAATTCAGAGAAGCTGGAGGAAAGTTGTTATAATATATAAACACTCTGTAGACTCTGATTTAGTGCACTGTGCCTAATACAGAGTGAGTCAGAAATTTGTAATAATAATATTTGCTTTAAAAGCAGCAAAGATTGTAGAAAAGGACCCAATTTTGCATTTACAGTTTCCACAACTTCCATAACAGAGGTGTGTTTTACTGATAACGCCATTAAGAACAGACATGAGAGCTGATATTGGATAATAGAAGGTGATGCAAAATCAGTCCTATTTTGGGGGGACAAAACCCATTATGATGTTTTGTTTTTCTGTAACATATAAAACACTGACGCTGACTTGAATAAAACTATTTGTAAAAAAAGTCATTATTCCAGAATGATTGGGGTGATTTTGTAGGTGAGTGCATCGAAAATGGAAAATAATTTTTAAAAAGCTGGGAAAAAAAACCTTTTTGGAACAATGGCAAAGGATGTTAGTTTTTTGCTTTAGATGGCATTTAGATTTGACTTTGCATTCACCATACAGAGTTGTGTTGCTAATTTGAATAGTCAAACTTGGTGTGCTAGCTTGTGCAGTGGCAACAACTGCAAAACACCATCAACAGCGTACCTGTTTCTACTCAGCAGCATCCTTTCTATACCTGAAATATTTCCATACCACTGCACGTCTTTGCACAACCAAATCTTTTTTTCTTGTGAGCAAACTCCATGTTTTGTGAACAAAGTTTTTCAACAAACAACAAAACTCAGTGTATCCAAAACACCTGAAGTTGAAGTAAATTATGTTCTACGAGACCGACTTCTCTTGTAGATTAGTCACGAACAATTTGAACTATGCAACTTCTTTTTGTATCAAGCAGCGTGTAAAAATGTAATTTGCCTTACTTCACACTGCACTTTGACTGTCACGTCAATGCTGAAACGCTAAATGGTGCACCCCTTCCGTAACTAGTGGAAAAAAATGACCTTAATATAATAAAACATAAACACGAGCGTTCATTTAGCTGTGACATCCTCACCTGACACATCCCAGTTTGACTTCATGGGTTGCGAGATCATCCAATTAAAAAGAGAGACTGGAACTTAATAGCTAAAGGTGTTGCATCAACAGTAGATGTGTGTCCTGTTAGAATATGTTTGACCAACACACCGAACCCCAACCTGCTTCCCTGTTGTTGCAAATTGCGTCTGGGCGTCAGATAAAAGTGTCAAAATGTAAACAGACAAGATCATCTCACAGGGGCCGGCTTCCCCCCTCGCTTCAATTTACTTTTGTGTTACTGAACAAGAAGGTAAAATGGAAAAACTATTAATGCGGTTAGAATGTAGATAGGTTTTGGTGCTGAATGAGACGAGGGCTACAAAACATTTTCTGTTTGGTCAGTTTTATCCACGCGGAGCTTCCTTTCACAGCGATTAAAGTAATTTTGAGCATTATCAATGTGGATTTTCCTCTTTTAGCAAATGTGAAAGCTCCTTTAAAACAAATACACGAAGAGATGATGGAAAAAGAGGCAGTGAGTTTTAAATGTCTCACGAATGATCAGACGACGATCATGTCTGGATGGTGAAAAATGCAGCGTTCAAGGGGAAAAAAAAGTCGTGTTTATCCACTAACCACAATTACTGCAGAGCCTCAATGCTGAAAAAAGGCCCCAATTAGGCAATTTATCCAAATAATAACTCAACACGCTTGGACTCGTGAAGAAATAAGTCAGCGGTGCCACTTCATTGCGACCACATACAGATGAAGATGAAATTACTCCCTTTTTTTACCACGGCAATCATTACATTGGAGAAAAAGGAGCAAATTATAATTGACTGTGTTAAGATCGATTCCTTTTAAAGTAGAAGAGGAGAGTTGGGTAACAGGGAAATTACTTGAAGGGTCTTCATCCTTTCCTGAAGTCTCCTTGCATTTCTGAGCAGTAAAGAGTAGAGACGCGGACACATACTGTGGCTAATGAGAGGTAGATAAAACACAAACACTGAGAGATCAAAGTCTCTTTTCTTAGTGATATGAGAGGAGAGCAGGGGAGAAACTACACTTTGAGGAGGGAAGATGATTGATGGATAGAACATGTGACAGTGTGCACAGACAGAGGAGATAATAGCGCAATAATGAGGAGGAGACAGATGGCGTTAAAGAGAGTGAAGGAGCCTCGGAGTGAAAGTAAAATGTGAAGACGCCCGAGGAGACGCGGGAGAAATCGGTGATTCTGTGCAGAGAGGGTTTGTGTGATTGTAAACAAAACTTGAGCTGAAGTTAAGCTTGATCCCTGCCTTCTTCTTAGAGTCACTGTTGGTCTGTATGATCTCTAAAAATGTCCTAATTGAACATCGTCAGCATTGACAAACGCTCTGACGCCATGTTGTGATCGTTCTACCTGTTGATGTTATTATTAGGTTTAAGGGCATTTTTGATCTTTTATGTTGTTTTTGTGCTTTGACATCAGAGGGCTATACTACAAAGAGAGATTAAAGAGTTATCAAGATATATTGAGCGTGAAGTCAGACTTATGTTCAGAGTTAGGGATCTAAATAAGAAGCGCCAATCTTTCACCGATTGTTTTCTCTATGAGGTTTAGAGACACTCAGCTAAGGAAATACATTATATCTGCTGAATTACATGTGAGTAACGCTGCTAATCAAAGCCGTGCATTCAGACTAATGCAAACTGTACCATGCAAACCTGGAGGGATTCAGCTGAAGATGCAGAAAATGCACAAAGATGCTCTTAAGCATGACTCTGATTTGCTGCCAAGCCTGTTTTACGCTGCTGGTGCTGCAGCTATCAGCACCACATTAGAAAATGGATTAAAAATGGATCTGTTGGTATTTATCGCACAAAATATTCAATCAGGAACATTAGTTAGACATTGTTGTGGTCAAACGTTACCCTTTATTATACCCTAATTTTCAATATCATTGCTTTCTGCCATCATGCTTTCTTCATTGTTACAACATGGTCCTTTTGACTGAAGCAGACGACACACCACTGATACATTTTGTGCAGAATAAGAGCCAAACGACTCGTCAAGCTCCCCCATTCGTGGGACCACGATGATGGCAACCTACTTAAAGAATTATGTTGATATTCACCACTTGGGGTTGATTGGGGTTTCAGGTTTTACCAGACCAGTTCCTCCGTAAAAAACCTCTCAGCAATAGGACTACAAATGTATCCTTTTCATATGCGTGCTGGGTCACTAACCGTCGGGTTCAGGCAGCCGGGATAGGCAGTAGTACTCCTTGTGTGTGATGAGGTTCGGCAAGCCCCTGAACAGACTGCGGCACAGTTTACACTCGAAGATGGTGTCCACCTCCCTCAGGAGCATGTGTTTCAGCTGGCTGGTGCCTGCAAGACAAACAACAGTCGTCTTGAGTAACTTAATTGCCTTCAGAGATAATGGAATGGACATATACAGTGTATTGTAAAAAGTCATCGCATTCCTAATAGTGGGAGTTTTTACAAAGAAACCACTCTCTGTGGTCTTTTTTCTGGCTGCAATCAGCGTTACATCGCTGTTATGCTCCACCTAGCAATCACTGAGACATGATGGTTGTAGTGCAATCCGCTACACAAAAGCTTATTCATGCAATTCAAGTCTTGAAATTGTTAAAAAAAAAAAAAAAAAAAAAAGGAGTCTGCAACACTGTATATTTTTTTTGATAAGCCCAGTTTCATGTAGAAAAAGCATTCAGCAGATTGTAAATAAGATTTGTTCTAAATCTTTATGAAAAAAGCTCAAATAGGAAAAACATCTGTAAGCTATATGCTTTTATATGATCTTATACAGTTGATAATGGCTAAAAAAAAATTGAAGTTAAACAGAGGAAGAGCTGGGAACTTCCAGTTTGTATGACAGGCCTGCTGGGTAAATTTGATAGTAGATTTGTTGAATCCCAGGAATAATCTCTATGGCCTTGTAACAGGATTTCAGATGATGACAGTCTTTGTGCAAAGTGCTACATTTGCATCACTGCTGTCATCATCTTTGACATCTTTTTTTTCATCATTGTCATCAGAGTGATGACTCAAGTGTTCCGTCTCACTTCGATTTGTCCGTATGGAAGCACTCAGTGCATTGTTAGATATGTGACTCACATTCGCTTACAGCATGTAGCAGCATGTATTGTATGCTCTGTTGGGCATTTTATACCCATGTGCACAGACACACACATTTGTTTGATGCAAAAAAAACACTGAGTAAACACTGTTACGGTGACTCACGCGGACGTCAGTACGACACATACCTGCACACACACACACACACACAGACAGGAAACACACACTGCTGAGGCCTCTCACCTGTCACTTCGTTTTATCTGTTGCCCCTTTGCCACTGGCCCAGTTAGGATGCAACTGTGCTGTGTTGTGGCATGATTGTATACTACAGCAGCAGGGGATAATCACACTGACCCCAAAATATTACGGCCCTGCCTGGAAGCAGTCCTGGAAACAATAACCCAATCACACGAGCCCCCCCGCTCACGGACTCATAGACTTTGAGAAACGTTCACAAGAAGCATAAATCTTTCTGTGAGTCTGCAGACTTGCCAATAGTTCATTGTGAAACTGGTGATGTATGAACGTATTTGTCCTGGAACCCACAAAATGTACACAAACCAAGCATGGATGGTGCAGGAAAGAAATCCGCTAGGAAGTTTATCTGGAAGTGACACTCACTGCTGTGGTTATTTATTGCCTGTTTGTAGAGCTGTTTGTATTTTCAGTCAAACATTCGCACTGGATTTACAGATTTTCATGGCTTTCCTGACTTTTAGCAGTTTGTTTAAATGTACAAACACTGTAATGTGACAAAGGGGGAGCGTTTAAATGAGTAGCTAACCGAATGAAACACAGGTCCATTATGTCTTTCTTTAGTTGGCGCTGTCACCAAACTGCGTCATCGTCTTTACGTCATTTCAAGACATCATGAAATGACAGCTCTGACTTTAGTTAAGTGTGGGAAACTTTAAACCGTACGGGGTGGAGATCATGAATGAGAAGAGGCTAGCTGTCAGACTAAACTGAACATGGCTGGCTCATATGAAGCTATAACAAATCAAGTAACTGATCCACTGACTCTTGGACTAATTAAAGCATTTCCAGCTTCTAACTGGAAATGATTTGCTATTTTCCTCACCTTACAGCAAATGTTAATTACACAAAATACGAACATATCAGAGCTAATGATGAGTATTTTCGCTATTTTCTAACATTGTATAGGTCAAAAAATTGATTAATTAACTGAGAAAATAATCAATTAACTCTCTGAACCACAAGTAGGTAGTTTTTTTTTTTGCTCCTGTCACATTTTCAGTCACTGTGGGCTCATTTTTTAACTGCAATATAAAATCTTGCACCTCTATGGAAACAGCACAACGATGGCTAGAAGTAGAGAAAACCCACAACTGCCTTTTGTGCTGAATAACACAGTTATATGAAATAAATTATCTAGACAAGAAAAACAAAAAGTTAATTTTGTTGATACTTTAGAAAAAATTAAAAGAACCTGAAATCAGGATGTGAAACATTTTTCCAAGCATCCACAGGTGTTACCAACATTGGGAAAATGGTGACACTACATACTATTGATATTCTACTACTTACATTTAAAATTTGATCAGTGGAAAAGTCCCATGTGATTGTTGGTTGCAGCTAAATCCTTGCTTTTCTGTGGCACCAAAGGAGCGCGTGTGCGCTTATTTTACAGAATCTGTTCAGTGCAAACGGTGAATTTTTGGCAAATCTTTAAATGAGGCAAGTTGAAGAAAATGATTTTTGATTAAATATCACATTTTTATGCTTTGATTTGGCGATGTTTGATTAGGTTTTTTTATGGAACAGCATGTCACACATGAATATTTCAAGGACTGTCAGGCGGTCTGAGGACTCCTCCTGTTTTTATAGTCCGTGGCTCTGATAAATGGTGTAATTTTAATGATTATTTTAACAGATCATGTGTCTTTCAAGTAAGTTTTGGGCTTCAGAGACTTAATGCATAAATAATGAAACTAATAATTAATTGCAACCTCAGATTCAGAAGCTGGATGAGCCTAGAGCTTCTAATATAACATCACAAACGACATAACAACAACTGAGCAACTGTGCTATTCTCCTCATATGGAAAAAACTGTCGCTGCATTGCGGGGATTTGATCACAATTTCTTGTGGCACGGCACAATAGGAACAGTCGACACAGGCACAAAAGAAAGGAAGGAAGCTATGACAGGAGACGATGAATAAGAAAGGAACGAAGGACAATAGGAAAACACACAGACACAAACCGGATCGGAAGCATTCAATTATCTGCTGAATCCCAGACTTGGAGGTCTGCAGAGGCTGCTGGAGCAGAGGAGGATCACCAGGCTCCACGCAGAGGCCTGCAGAGAGGGAGAAACCAACAGACAGAGATTGCGTTTTGTCAAAGTGAGCATACAATTACATCAGAGCATGACAGTCCTTGAGAAATACGGCATCACCTGCAGATTCTGTGCAACAAAACAAAGTACATTGCGGCGTGCTTAAAGGGAGCAAACAATCAGAGTCAGACAATGAGGTCTGCACAGGAGGGTGATTCAGTCTGACCTCGTTACCTTCTTTCACACACAACACAACGACACGACACATGCTCGTTCTCTTTCACACTGACACACGGTGACTATGAGAGAGCACGTCATCTGTCTTCTCCGTCTAAGATCAGTATTCGAACAGAACAGAAGAGAAGGACAGGATGCAGACAAAAGAAATCTTTACAAATGAAATCTCTCAGTGGTGCTCGTTTAAAGGACTCGAGAGAGATGGACGGGAAAGATGAAGACAAATGTATGCAGATGAAAAGTTGCTGCGTCCAACACACGTCCACAGTGTCACTTCATCTGCCACAACAGGAACGTGACCGGAGAGAAATGTATTCATGGTCATCAGATTGGTAAAACTTTTGATCAACCGTCCAGTTGTGTTGTTTCTTCACTGTGGTGCCTGAGGTCTTCTGACTTTACCGTAATGCCGTGATCTTTGTTGTTTCAATAGATCTGAGTCCAAAAAACTACTCAATTGTTTTCCTTTTAATACACACATTCCACTTATGCACGGTACACACTTTCCCCAACATCTCTGCCATATGATTGCACCTGTCTCTGCTGATTTCGGTACTCACAGGTGCTGCGCCTCACTGACTGACCGCCAACTATCTGAAATCCATTTCACCCTTGTAAAAGACATCACCGGTGCTGCATTTGACAGTATCGCTGTAGCCAGCCAGGGTTCAGCACATCATTACAGGTCAACTAGCATTTTTTTTTTTACAAAACCTAGCTGGGTTTTCATCCTCGTTTGTGTCCACAGCTAAAGCCAGCGTGGACGTTTTTGTATAAATAGCTCAAACAGAACATGGCTATTTAGACGTCAGCTACACACAGACGAATTGAAGTCAAGATGTGAATGTTTGGGTCCTGCAGTGAGGGGATCTGGTGGGCATTTTGGTGGCAGGATTTGGGTCCACTTAGAGGGAAGGGCCACTGAAAATGAACACATTAATACTTGTTGATCTGAGTGAGCTTTTTCATGTTATTAAAGATTGGTATCTTGATGGAAATTATCTCCTTCAGGACGATGATGCCCTCATCCACAGGGCATGAGGTGTCAATGAATGGAGGATGAAAATGATGTGCCTTTAGAGTTACCAGATTTCAACCCAATCGACGGCGCTCTCCGCCGCCATCATCAAAACACCAAATGAGGGAATATCTTCCCCCAATAAAATCCCACAAACTTCGATAATCAACACCCAGGCAGCACATGAAGGCCCAACACCATGCTACGACACTTCTCCTTTAATTCGTAACCTCTCCGTCTTGCTGCTACCCTACTGCTAGCTTCTAACGCACTCCGACCTGGTAAATCCTCTTTTTCATGGACTCCCAGGCTCTAAAGGGACGCTTGAACCTGGAAATGCCTATTATGTCACGCATGGTGTCAGATTTAACAAGCGGACTGGAAAATGTTTTTTGCCTTTGCTCGACCTCAATCACCAGAGGGTGCAGGGTCGGCTGGCAAACCTGATGATGGTAGGGACTGGACGCTTTGTTTGAGTTACTACCGGCTTTTGTGGGAGCTCCACTTTATTACTTTTAATCATTGGATTCTCACACTTGTACTTTAAGACTTTTTATTCTTTGTTTCTGGTTGCTTGTAGGTAGTTTTTGCTGGTCTCACTGCAACCAGAAAGCGTCGATAAGAACACCAGGAAACTGTCCGTTCAAATATGTGCAGGATACATAATTTTCAAGCTCTCTGAGATTTAGTCTTGGTTTTCTGCCAAATATTGAACAGTCCTGGCTGAAATACTACAGAGACCAGGTTCATTCTTTATCCTAAAGCATAAAAAGCTTCATATTTCTGCCTTGAAAGCAAGGATGTGGACAACACCTAACAAATATGCCTTTGTAGTGTAAATTTTTACTTACTGGTCTTAGCGCCAAACAATGTTATTTTCCCTTTGTATAAAACATTAAATATAAAACAGCAGGATTTTGGTTCCTGCATTATTGATACAAGCAGACCCACAGTGGGCTACTGAGATGTATTGTGGGAAAGTGAAGTGCTCGCGTTTTACCTGTTTTATGAAAACAGGTAAAATGAGAGAATATTTTTTCATCCATTTTTTATTTCACCAACTTCATTTTACATCAATACAATCCTGACTGTTCGTGGAGACGGGCGTAAAAACAAAGAGGAGGCAGAACAATTACACACTTAAGCAGCGCCACGGACCCTGCAATCACCTCAAACGCTTTGTAAGGATGTAAAATAAGGTGACACTGAGAGCATCGTTTTTGCTGCAACAAAAAGAACATTTTGTGACAGCAATGACGAGGACGAAGCTCTAAATCAAACGCTGCGTCCAGCAGTAAAATGTCAAATGTTTGTTTGGTGTTGAAGCACGCACATAAATTATTGCACACAAACTACAATTAATGTTTTGTCGAGGCTGTTAATCAGAAGATAATGCTGCATTTTGTTAATTCCGCGCAATATTATCGGTCTGTTTTGTTTATCAACGAGACAGAAGTTTGAATTTATTTTTTGAAGTTGCTCGATGAGGTTAGAGACACTTTAAAGTGTTTGGCGACGGATTCATACGCTGCATGTTGAAATGCACAAAGACAAAAACACAAACTCACACTACGGGGTAAAGCAGTGCAACATGGCTGAAGTGGTTGGTAAGTTGTTGAGGCAATAACTCATTCAGACAGACAGTGAAACTGCTTAAACCTGCCGGGGGTCGATCTTAGTGACAACCTGCGTCAGGCGACCTTTTTCATGACCCTCTTCTTGGTCCGGTCAGGGCTGAGCGCAGTTTGGACGCTGCTTTTCTTTGGTGAACCAGCATCAGGAATGTAAAAAAACAAGCAAAGAGAGCAGGCGGGCAGACAGAGAGAAGAAGCCTAACTTTCATCGAATTATTCGGTGCAATTTAAACTACATTTTTTTCAGCGATGTGTACTGAACAACAGAGAATCTCTGTAAAAGCCAGTTCATGCTTTGCGTGTCCGTGTGTGCAGAATGACGCAGATTTTGAAACACATTGTTCTATTCCTGCCAATCCCTTAGGACCGACTGACCCACGTTCAACCGCTGCTCACATGGAACACATCTCTACTTTGGCCTTTAAAAGTTCTCGTTGGAAAATAGGTGGAAGACAACAGATGTAAGGCTACACAGGCGTCACATTGTCCCTTATATCAAGAAAACACATTGGTTTCCTGTTGTGGTTTCTGGAAGACTGTAGCTTTTGACAGAATATAGCAGCCGCTTACAGATTGGGATAGGGGATTTCTTTTATTTGTTTTGTCTCATTTCAGTCACACTGCATTTCTGAGCTCTCTCTACTTCTAGCCGTGGTTGTGCTGTTCCCATAGAGGTGCAGCACTTTATATTGCAATGAAAAATACAGTGAAGAAAACTGTGAGCGGAAACAAACAAAACCGCCGAGAAACGGCCTGGAGTTCAGAGATTTGAGAGTCCTGCCGTGGCTACAAACAGCCACTACTCAAGATATTTTTCTGGCTTCAGCACCAAAAACGAAGACTGAACTTCCTATCGTGTTTTAGGCGTGTACAAATTAAATCCCTACCAAAGTGCGACAGTGACGACTTCAACTGCAGTTCAATAGATGATGAATTGCGAGTGCGTGGAGGACCAAGAATCTCCTCCTACAGTCACTCCTCATAACACGTATATATTTAAAGCACCATCTATCTTTCTGGAACAAGTGCAGCCAACCTGCATCTGTGCAGATCCCTCTGTGGATGACAAAATTCATGTCATGCATACCCTTGGCCTTAACGGTGAGGACAAGGGTTGAGTGTGGTCTCCTTAATGGATTCACTGTGACCCACATTGGGTGCTTTCCTTCGTGCTAACATATCTCCTCACTTGCTTCCTAGCTCCTCCCAGTAAGAGCTAACAATCACTTACTCTTTCACTCTTTCAGAAGCTTCGTCTCTTATCGAGGTCAATTAAAGGTTTGAAAAATCCTCCATGATGACGGCGGGCTGAAAGATTTCCAGGTCGCAGGAGGAGAGATGATGCAAGGAGGCATAAGTTAGCATAATGAAAAGCAGCCGTAGATTAGTCTGGTTTCAAACTCGCGTCTGCTTCTGAAAGTGCTATAAGGAGGCCAAAGGAGCGGCAGACAGACCGACACACCCACAGAGACGTGGACAGAAAAGCGAGGCAGGAATGTGAATGACAACTGTGTGAGAGGCTTTGACAGAAAGAGAGAGATGGAGATTATGTATTAATGTGTTTTCCTCATTACCATCCCCCCCACACCTCTCCCACGCAAGCTGCTATAATCCCAGCGGGGCAGGTCGGTGACCCCCGACCTCCGTGCCCCGCTCCGCAGCAGAGCCAAAGATCACAGCTTCCTTTAATATAAGCGGTGCAACTGCTTCCTTAGCAGCAAAGTTGGGAAATAGCTCCCAGGAGCAGAGTTTATACAGTACGTGAGACATCTATATCTTTTTTCTTTTTTTTTTTTTTTAAGGGAAGCGAGGGAGAAAGGCATTGGCCGCTACGCTAAACGGAGAAAACAAGCGTGTCAGAACTCGGCAGAAAACATTACATCATGATAATTGCAGCTCTGATAGCCTGGTGGTACATTTTACAATCCTATACCAAGAGCTTAGCTTGGCTTTAGGGCCGTGAAACACACTAGCGAGAAGTAATCACACCATATTGGCTGTATGGGACACCTGTGGTTTCTGAGGGGGAACAAACTGAGAGAAAGAAGTCAATGTGGTCTGATCTGAGGCCACAGAACTTCATAATAGACAGGAAAAAAAGTCAAACAATAGATCATATCACAGTCACCAATAACTTCTTATTACGTCCCCAAGTTAAAACAGTAGAACGTTTATTCTTAATCTTTAAAATTGAGGCAATTTTCTAAATTTCCTACTCTATTTGTAGCCAAGGTCTGCTCATTTAACACCCCCCATACCTTCAGAGTCCCTCCAAACAATACACAAGTTGTGCCAAAACCAGTGTAATAAATCAAGCTCCAAATAAAGCTTTCACACATGTTCAACAACTAACCAGCGCTCGAAGCCAAAGGCAGTTCCTATTTCCCGTTTTCTCTGTCAGAACAAACCATTCAGTTTTATTTTTGAGCACACAGGCAGCCTTACTCTGGCGCTCTGTCAGTGAAGCTACACAGGAGGCTGACAGACAGTTTTAGCCTGTAGGTGGATGAATCAAAGCAGCGGAGGATTGCAAGAGGGAAGCAAACCTTTACACACCTTGGTTGCAGGCGCCGGTCTGCAGGAACTGCTCCTCGGTCTGGCAGCTCTGGTCCCTGGTCCGCCCGTTGGGGTCCCGGTGGGGCTCGGGCAGCAGAGGGGGAATGGGCCTCCACAGGGGCTTGGCCTGGGCGGCGGAGTCCTGGCCGTCAAGCGGAGGCTCCTTCTGGTCCCAGTTCTCTAACGGCGCCTCGGCCGGAGCAGAGGCCTGCAGGTGGGGCTGATCGGAGGACTGGTCTCCCTCTTTGGGTTGCGCCTGTGGTGGATGCTGGGTGTCCGAATGGAGTTCCATCTCTGTCTGACCACCAGTCTGTGAGAACGAAACCACAGCACACAGCATGAGCAGCAAGAAATACAGCGAACATCATAAAATACAATTAGAGTTAAAGTCACTGTGTGGATGTGATGTTTGATTGCAATAATCTCCTGGGTTTAGTCACTGGGTGGTAGAAGTAGCAGCAAAAATTGTTGTCTGTCACAATAATACTTTTGTATGACCACAGCAAGGGGCCAAATCAGAAATGTTCACATCTTACAAATAGCAGTTTGCAGAAAGAAAAAAAAACAGCATGTACAGTTCAGTTCAAATTACATTAACTTTAACACTGCATTGTGGAGTTAAACACTCTGAACCCAAAAAAAACAGCTACAGGATTTGAAAGGGATGTTATGTGTAAAAAAAAAATAAATTTTTGGCATGTATCAGAGCCAGAAACTCCAAGAACAGAAAAAAAAAGAGTCAGATTTCCAACTCTCTGATGGTCCTTGATCTAATCATGTGTGACACATGGTTCTGTCTAAGCTTATAATAGTGACATTTCATGAAAATCACTTTATTTTACATCCATCCATCCATCATCTATCCATCCATCATCTATACACCGCTTAATCCTCAGTAGGGTCGCTGGGAGTCTATCCCAGCTGACTCAGGGTGAAGGCAGGAGACACCCTGGACAGGTCACCAGTCTATCACAGGGCTACACTTAGAGACAGACAACCAAGCACACTCACATTCACACCTACGGACAATTTAGAATCACCAATTAACCTCAACATGTTTTTGGACTGTGTGGGAGGAAGCTGGAGAACCCAGAGAGAACCCACGCTGCACGGGGAGAACATGCAAACTCCACGCAGAAAGATTCCGGGTGTCCTCACCGGGACGCAAACTGGCGACCTTCTTGCTGCGAGGCAACGATGCTAACCACCGAGTCACCTTGCACCCTTTATTTTACATGTCTCATTTTTAAAAAATAGCCATAAACAAAATGTTTAACCAAACCAAATTCTGTAAAAATAATAAATTCTGCACTCCTTGTCACAATTGTTCAGCCTTTTATGACTCAGATTCAACCAACAAGTGAGGTGACAAAAAGTCTTGTGACTTTTTGACTGAACTGCAGCTTGTTCTTGTGCAAAGTAGACAGGAGACACGTAATAAAGCAAATTAATACGGAAAGTAATAAAATATTTATAGTATATGAAGCTACTATTTTTTTTTTCTAGTAATGGTGACACCTGTGGATGATTGGATAAACATTGCACTAGTGGATTTCATGTTTTTTGTCCAATGTTTGTAAAATATATAACTAAAGATACTTAATTTTAATGTTTTTATTATTAATTGTGGTGTGCTATCAGTCTTCTGCACAAAAGACATTTTTGAGTTATCACCACTTCTTCATTTCCATAGAAGGACTTTGTATTGCAGAGAAAAAAAATCACTGCAATCCCTGATAACAAAGTAAAAATACCCAAAACTAATACATAAAAGACACAAACTCTAAAGCTTTTTCATAATTATGTAAACAACAGCTGAAATTCAACAGAAGAGAGTCCTTTGCCAATTAAATGTATAGCTGTCCTTCTCTGAGTAACTGTTTATTACGACCGTATTTAGCTGTGTGAACTCCAAAGTCAGAATCAGGTGTTGCTCTTTCACACATGCAGCAATCTTACTGTCAGAAACACTTTTCTTAGTTTCGGGGATGCCTGGTTAAAGCCTACAGGACAGGACTCGCCCTAATTTCTGTGGACAATTACCGGCTACATTCAAGCGTGGGCTCAGTCGGACATTACTGTGAGTTTGTGCTTGGGGGGCCTGGCGGGATATAAAGTCCGATTAATGTCCGACATCCAGCTCCTCTGGGTGAGGTCTAGAAAAGTTCTGGGTGGCTCCGCATGTGTGAAAACGGTTTGTAAGCGTGTGGCAGCCATGTCTCCTGAGCATCCAGAAAATTTTGTAGGGGGGGACATTAACCTTGTCACGCACGGCCACCCTTGAGCAGATAAGTGACTCCATGCCGACACATATATCTGTCTGCCTGTTGAGTGTGTGTGTCTCTAAACCAGACCTCTTTCTCTCCAAGTCCCCAATCTTGTCTCCTCCCCCACCCACCAATTTATCCTCATTTTCTCTCTATGTCGGTGTCTGTCTCCCTAACTCCTTGTGTCCCCGCTGCCCTTGAAGAGGGATAAATGACTCCACATCAGGCCCATTACATCACATTACCACAGGACAAGTGGGCCACTTGGACAGTGTGTCACCTCGTGCACACGAACGCGCTGTGCCGTAATCAAAAGGCCGCAAAATAGCTTTAACGGTATGTTACGCAGCACATGCATAGCCTGCTGCAGACACTGAACGCAGGGTCACGGCCTGGAGAAACGTGCAAAGAGACTAAACAGCGCAAAGTCAATAAAACTTCTGTTGCTGTGGCAGAAAGCGGAACTTAAACATCAAGACTGCACGGGATGAAAGTACAAAAAAAACATCAGGGAGTGTTGGAATTTATCAGTCAGTCAATCAGTCAAATGAGTCACTTTTCACTGGGAAGCGGTGAGTGCAGAGCAGAAGAAAAGGGGAGTGATGAGAGTAGGTGGACTCGCCGCGAATTTCCACTCAACAAAACTGTTAGGTGGAAAAAAGAATAAAACAGACTGACGAAATCTGGATTAAAGAGTGTGGCTGAATTATCACGATGAATATTTAACGCGAGTCTTTCAAACGTCTCATCAGCCGCTGTCATTATGATGCTCGGTGGAAAAACAAACACAAGACGTTTGAAATAAAACAATGGATACTACGTCTGAGTGGGTTTGCGTCAGAACTGAGGGAAGCGTGTGCGAGACCTTTTAACACAAAGTGTGAAGTTGCGAGGGTTCAAAAATAATGAGCTACTCGATTATGAAATGCTTTGTGAGCCGCTGTGTGTCGTCTCCAAGTTAATTCGTGCACAGAGGAGCTCACGTGGCTCCGGGCTTGACTGAGAGTCGAGAACAGCCATTTAGCAATTAGTCGGAACTGTTTGTCAATATCGAGATTAAGGAGGTGAGCATGCAATTAAAGACACTGATGAGGCTTCACCTTAAGGTGCAAAAACAGAGATCTCAGGATGCGGCGGCATAAAAACGTGCGAAAAGAAGCTGGTAGATTTCCTGGAACAACAGTCTGGAGACTAAAGGAGTAAAAATAAACCTTTATCAAGACGATGGAACGAGGAAAAGTGTGGCAAACAAGAGAAGAAGGGAATGACCCAAAGTGTTGCACCTCGTTTTGTCGAACACGGGGCTGCTTCTGTTCAAGCTGTCAATGGAGCCGGCACATTGTAATTTACTGATAATTTTGCTGTTGATAGAAGGATAAGTACAGATTTATGCCCTAGATGACATGTCATTGTTCAGCTGACAAATATCCTAAACATACGGCCAAAGTGGCCTCAGAGTAAAGAGGTGGAATATCCTGAACTGTCAATCACCTGATCTCAATTTGCCTGAGGTGCATTCCACAGACTGAAAAACCCCACAACAGGCACAGAGACGATTGACTTTATATGTGTCTGTCAAAGTAAGTTTAAACCCTTGAATGTTGGTTGTATGTGTTAAAGGTCTGTATCTCCCACACAGTTCTATCTATATTCATGTATTGACTCTGCACTTTAATGTGTTAGCGTGTGGATTTATCACAACACAAAGACTTTCATTGTATTGACAAAAACAGAGCTACACATGAAGACAGACACATACAAGACAGGGATTGATGTGTTTAAAGTGGGACATCTGATCACAGAATGAAGCTTTTCCTCCACTAACACTCATGGAATAAAACAAATCACATGATGTGGTGTACATGCCAGGTTGCATGGGTGGAGTAAGATTTGGGTTCTAACAAAAAAGGAAGTGTGTTTTTCACAATCTGACTGTGGAGGGAAAAAGACTGGACAATAACATCCAGGTATTGTTGAGGGGGTTTTTTTTGTTTAGTTTTTTTTTTTTTTTTTGCAGTACCTGTCTGCGGAGACAGTGAGAGCTCTTCCTCCCAGCTGACTTCTGGACCTTCACCATGCTGCCAAGACTGGCCTGCTGCACCACACGTTCACTACCAGCATACACCTGTAACCTGCAACAACACTCCACATGAGCCAAACACTGGACTGGAGGAAACACACCGTGTGCTGGATGTGCTTCTAAAATATTAAATGCTTGTGTATGTGTGCACCTAAGCTCCGTTTTTCAAAACAGAAAAAAAAAAAAAGTTAAGAATTGACACCAGTTTGTCCTGTCTCATCTGTGTGTATGTAGCTGCACATATCAGCTGCATTGAAGACAAGTTTCATTGTTTGTTTTTGAAATCCCAAAGGTGAGAATTTGTACTGTCCTGCTCTAAATGGGCCTTTGGGAAATGAATATACATGACAGTAAACATGATCAGTCCACATACAGTAAAGGCAAAGAAGTCTGTGCACTTCCCTGTTATTTCTAACCATTTGCTCAACAGAAATGTCTATTCTGTCTAATATAATGTTGGGTTTCCACAGTGTAAATTCAGAAACTAGAACAATTAAACCCATGTTACCTACATGAAGTGCATCATCTCTGTGCACAAAAATGTCCATTGTGCTTGACAGAATGAAATTCCAAACAGCAAAACTGCTTCTTTTTTTTCTTAAATCACATCATTTTGGTTTTGGTGATTAATTGATTGATGAATTTCCTCTGATTCAGGCTACACTCTCTTTGGATTCCAAAAACATCCTCTGTGCAGAAAAAAAAAAAACTCCCTGACAAACATGTATATTACAGCGAAACAGACAAAAACACAAGGGGGGGAAAAAACAGAATTAAGGATGATCATAACAAGTGTGAACAGACATATAAATGACAGATGCTAGAAACAGGCTGGTTTGGGGAAAGTGTAATAATGCAATTACTGGCAATGGAGCAATGCCCAATGAAAGTGCTAAAACTTTTATAAGCTGACAGATGTGAGGTTTTGCAAGATCAAATTCAACATTAAAAGAAAAAATCTTGAAAATGAGAGGGAAGTTGGTAAGTATATAATTATATTCTTGCACTGAAACTGTAACGCTCACAGTGTGTATGTTTTATTTGTGCACGTTTTTTTCTTTACATTTATTTGAAGACATCCTATTAATTAACGTACAAAGAACTGGCAAACTATACTAGTGGAGGGATAGACTGGAACCAACAACAAAAACCTTCCTGTTGCCAGAATGTGCATCCACAACACATTTCTACGCCAGTATTTCTTGTGAAAACGTGCATTAGAAAACACAGAGCCGAGTGTTTACTGGCGGCTGTGTGCTTAGAAACGACAGCGGTTTAAGATCCCAGTAATGGTGATTTGTCACAATACTAATTCAGCTGCGTGTTGCTGCCAGGACAATTAGACCCATGTTACCTGCATTAATATGCTACATGAGGCGCATCATCTCAGTGAGCATTAAATATTGAGCACGCTGCCTCCTGAACATGGCTTATGCTAATGGATATATATGGTTTTCCCAGAGCAACCTTACAGTGGGTGTACATGCTATAGCTGCAGATATACCGGTTCAATCTGCATGAAACATAAATTGCAACATCTATCTAAATAAGTACTGGTGCAGCCAACTTACAAACAGATGTAAAAAGGTCATCTCCACCTGCTTTGGACATACAAACTAGGATGGAATGCAAAAGATTGAGAAAAATGTCTGTGACAGTAAATAGCTGAGTGAGTAGAAGATGAACTGAACTCCAAAAGGCGTAAAGTTAAAGATGAGATATTCGTTTCCATATTTTAAACAGGAGTTTTGTACAATTTAAGAGTATTAAGCGGTGTATAGATAACAGATGGATGGATGAATGGACAATTTACGAGTTGAAAAAAAAATTAAAAGGAGCGACATGCAAACGTTTTTTGCTCCCCAAGAGATTTAACCTCTCGTAACATTTACAAAGGTCTTGACCCTTAATTAGCTTGTCGTTCCAAAGCTTTAGAAATACTCCGACTCCTCAATCTTTGTCCCAACAATCAGGCTCCTCTACGCAGCTGCCTGGCACTTTGAAAGTTCAAATAAGTGACAGCCACATAAGAAGACAACAGATTCTTTTCAGGTTTCCTCAGTTCTCAATGCAATCAAGAAACAGCAGTTAACAGGACTGGTGGAGGTCAAGTTGAGTTTTGAAAGACCAAGAAAACTCTAGCGAGAACGGCAAAGCAAATCCCCTGTTTGCCACAAGACCTTCAGGAAGAAGCAACAGACTGTGGAGGGGAGCCGAGCTGTTCTACTCACAAATACGACCTTCGTGGAAGAGCCATGAGAGAAAAGCCTTCCTGTATTTTCAGTGCAAAGTTCTCCGTCAGAAGTTTATCAAAACAAGCCGGACGCATTGTGGAACAAATCTTGTGGACTGATGAAGCTGAAAGAACTTTTTGGCTGCAGCGAGTGAAGGTATGCTTGGCGGGGGAAAAAAAAGTGTGCTGAATTTCATTAAAAGAACATGCTTCCAACTGGTGGAGTGTGAATCGATTACGCTTTAGGCTCGTGTTGCACAGGGAACGTTACACTAGTGGAGGGAAGAATGGATTCAATTAAACACCAGAAAAATGTGGAAGCAAACATCAGAGTCTCTAAAAAAGCCCAAGATGAAAAGAGGATGGCTCACAGAACTAGGATCATTTTGCAGGAACAATGGATGAAAATCCCCCAAACAAGAACTGAGACTCTTAGCTGGCTACAAAAAAGCTTTTTGCAAGCTGTGATAATTGCCAAAGGCAGTGTAACTAAGTACTGACCGTACAGTCTGTCCAAACTTTTGCTTTAGGCTCTTTTTGTTTTTTTTTGTTAAACTCTAAAAGATGGAAATAAAAAGCTTTTCTTTCCTGAAACATCTAAGAAATGTGTCGCTTTATCTTTTCGCCTTTTGAAACTTAGGTCATCTTTACTCACTTAGCTATTCACAGAAATGGCCAGACTTGTGTATATTTTTCTGGAAAAAAGACAGAAAGAGAGAGACAGATGGCGAATATATTAGAAAATGTGTTAGAAATAGTATTTTGAATAGTTTTTGCTAAGTTGTAGAAATATGGTGCCTTGGACAAACTCTCTGTAAGAAAATTAGTAAATAAGAGTCTCTAAATAAGTACTGGCAAGCGCTTCAAATAAAATAATAAGGCATAAATGCCGCCACACATACATCAAATACAGCACAGTATACAAATATTAAGTGACATATAGACTGGCAGTGGAGTTACAATTTACTGGTGTTTCAGCAACTCCCAGAGGGTAACACTTATAACAGCTGGTGTTTTGGGTTGGTGAGAACAGAAATTAAATGCTCTTCTTACAGTTTTTTTGTCTCAAAGTGTAATAATTCTACTAATGGGAATGTGGAGCCAATGTTCCTGAATGAGTCAGTTATGACTGTTGAACCTGCTGGACTTGTTGCTGAGGATGATGTGAGGATGCTTTCATTTGTTGCTGTCTTAATTTCTGCTGGAAGAGCCTTTAAAGCGCATCTCTGATGAATATTGTCTGTTTTGACTGCGACAGTAGGTGCCAATAAGTTTTAAGAAGCTTGCATTGGATTGGATTGCTGGTAAAAAAAAAAAAAAAGAGGTGGTTTGCGCTCATAAAATTTGCGTTACAGCATTTGAGGTGAAACAACGTGTGCTGCTGCCCTCTAGTGGTCGTTTACGTTAAAACAGTTTGATCCAACTCCGCATGTGCCTGACACTACATGAGTTCTTGCCTGCACTGGTTCCAATAGAACATGATTTAGATGCAGTAAGTTATGCTGAACAGCCTCATTCTTTCCTAATTTGCTATCTCCAGCATTAGCTGCCACCACGGTTAGTAAATTGACACTTTTTCTTTCTTTCTCCAGCGTATGAGTGTGAAATGCCCCGAGAGTCGAATGTTGGACTAATTAAATGTGCTGCGAGTGACAGTTGCTTAATGCAGTTTGGCTACGACATCATTTGGGTGTCCCAAACTTATGGAAATGTGGAACTAGCAGACAGCAAGAAAAAAAAAACAACACACAATTGAGCAGAGTGAGAACGAGAAAGCACTGATCTCTGACTGAAGTTATTATTTCTTCGGAGCCTGAGGCCAACGTGCATTCATTTGTATTTTGTGGTTTTATTGCAAATTAGTATAAAATTGCGAATAAATACATTAATAGCAAGAAATAAGGATTGTGAGGTACAACGATGAGGAAACTGGAGATTCAATGCAATCACAAATCTTATTAGGAACAGAAACATAATTTCTTCACAGCTCATAGTTCAGGAAAATTAACTGCAATTGTGTCGCTAAGTGTGGTACATTCTAAGATATCTCTAATGCACAGGCACATCCCTGCTTGGGAAGATTTGTAGTTTTGGTAAAACTCCAGCAGAGGGAGACAAAGCATGCACTTAAATGTTTTTTTTTTCTAGTTGAAAAGTTTTATAGTCCAGTGATGTCTCCAAAAGAGGAGACATGGACCACAAAGCGACACGCACAAGAGGCCACGGTGGGGTTGCAACGACACAAAACATATCTTCACGCAAAGGGTGTTTGGTTCATACTCATCCCCTCAGGTATGTGCAAAAATAATGTCCAGCCTGCAGGTGTGATGGTTAAATTTAACAACAAAAACACTCCCCTTAACCGAAATATGTGCACGAAAACAAGAGGTAGGGGACAAAGGTCAGACTGCTCTTGTCAAGGATATGACAGGAAATTAAATGTAATACTTTGCCTAGCAACAGCTGTGTAAATTATGATAGGTGTGATAAACTACAATTACAAAGCGGTTTTGCGGCGAATTAAACACAAAAACGGCTCTTGCATCTGCATTTCATGGCAACGTCTCTTGAAGGACTTTACACAAGCAACACAGCATACATTCTCTGACTTAAAATGAGCATGGAGATGAAATATTATATATTAAATACCAAATCAGTGTTGCATTGAGATGTTAAATTGCATAGTTTGCTCCTGATTTTATATCATTTGAAACCCTTTGTAGATTTTCAGGGTTCTGACACAACCCTAGCGAGCCCTTTCTTTTTTCCGAGTTCAGGCTGGAGACATTTCTGAATTCCTACTTTTAGCACTGATTATGAATCGGTTAAGCACTCGGCAGCGACACAGCAGCAGCGGCGGCGGCTACTTGCAGTGATGGAGCTGCTACTTAAAAGGATGAGCACAACTGAAGTGGAGCCTCAGCTGAAGAGTAGACAAGGAAATGTCAGTCTGTCACAATTGGAAAGCAGCATCAGTCCAAAGCAAGTGACAGTTGCTGTTAGCTAGCGTTGTATTACACGAATCCGGTAGCTTGCATCCGACAAAGTCACAGCTGCAGCCGAACATCAAAATCTTTGTAAAAAAGTGATGACAGACAGATGCTACGGGTCAAATGTGACTCCTGAAGCAGCTCTGAGCGCAGGCTGGCCTTGTTGGGATTTAACTGTAATAAAGACACAATTAACATCAAACTTTTAGATTAAAATAATTTATATTCTAGCAAAAATTAAGAGCAGACTTATTAATACATTATGCACCTACCCAGGTTCTATTTATATCAGGGAGGGAGATTAACACCAGCCATTAACTATAATGGGAAATTAGGACTTTGACCGGAAAGTCTGTCTACCCTACTGACTACTGAAGTCAGGAAACAACCTCATTTAAAACTTCTACTCATTTATTTAAAAAAAAATA